GTGTGTGTGTGTGTGTGTGTGTGTGAGTATGTATGTATGTATATATATATGTGTTCATACATATATATATGTATATATATATATATACATACATATATGATATATATACTATGTATATATATATATATATATATATAGAACGTGCATGTATAATATACATGTATCAGTCTACTCTGGTGTGTATACATACCTCACACGACAAATGTATCTGACAACTGAGAAACTGAATCTCTACTGGTCAGTATACAACAGGTTATATGGTGCATTTATTGGTAGTGCTCGCACAAATATACCAAGTGACATTGATATGGTCGCATGTTTTCCCGTAACCTATAATCAACGTTCCCATTACGGGCGGAAAACAAGCCACCAAAATGACACAATAACACGAATCAATAACAGTACTACGCCTGCATACTGCTTAGTATAGAGCTGGCACATGCATACCGGAATGAGATGGTCGGCTGTGGTCTCTCAGTCTACAGTAGACTCTCTCGTTGCGGGCAATGAAGGCACCCACACGTGCGTGTTTGGCTCTGTTTATTTCGTCGTCTTTGCGCTTGGCCCATATTCCAGGTAACAGTGCAACCAATTCCTTCAGCGTGTCGTAGCTCAATGTATCTACGTACTTAACAGCTTCGTTTATTTCGTCATGGGCATGCGTGCCTGTGGCATTTGCACGCACATTAACTATGCCTATATCGTGTGCAGTGATCGTGTGTGTACCCTCTATGGGGATGTCGGCCTGTTGTACCATTTTCTTCCCGGGGATTGATCCCTGTAGATACCCTGGGACTTTCAGTTCAGGTGCAGTACTTATAATTGCGTATATATAGACTGTTGTAATAGGTTAATTCTGAAACAAAAATGATCGGCAGCAAACCCTATTGTACCGAGTAGTCTCTGCGTGTGTATGTAGCTAGTTGTAATTGCAAGTATCGAACTAATATAGGTATGTAAATATGCTTAATTGTAACTAAAACACACACTTGTACAAGTATCACAAGAGTTTTAGGTGTCATAAAATTTAGGCAGCGCGCGACGGCGACATATTTGTATAGAAAAGTGATGACTAAAAAAATACCTGTGGCATATAAAATAATATGATACCGTGAGGAAGATACTAGATGATTACACGGTACATACACCCTATTTAAAAACAGTATACTCGGATACGGGATATATTGAGCAGTGATGACTCATATCTATGGCAAATTTATTTTTGCATCTTTACGCAATCACATCCTTATCAGTTTTTCACTTCAGCTGCGCTCTGGTGCATTTTCCAGGGAAGTAAACATACGTACATATGTCATATATTATTATACACTATGCGGTAACAATCGAGACTTCAAACCAACTCTCCTAAGTTACCACAGATAAGTACTGAACATGTCTTACCCACCACCAAACTACGGACAGGGCGCTGGCGCGGGAGGCTACGGTACTGTGCATGTTTTTGGTGATGGGTACATGTATACCTATTTGTATGTATGCTCGTATGTATGTCTGCATGTAAGTATGTCCGCGTGTATGCATATATGCAAGTGTGTGTATATGGTGGATAAGAAATGCATGTATGTATATAGGTATTCTATGTATATAGGTATTATAGATAGATAGATATATATATATATATATATATATATATATATATATATATATATATATATATATATATATATATATATATATATATATATATATATATATATATATATATATATATATATATAGTATATATATAT